TTCAGAGTGTAAAAAACGGTTCTACAAAAACGCTGGACCACAAGATGGTTTCCAGGACATGGAAACCCGTGGTGGCCGTGGAGATACGGAAACGAACTAGATCAGTGGCATAATAATTTGGAATTTATTCTGGAGTGAGATATATGTTTATACTATCTTCCTATTTGGGGTGGGGCTATTCTCCAACACCCTTCATGATCATCATTAAACTTCATAGATCGCATCGTAGTATTACATTAATTTATTATTTTTAACTAAATGAGGTAAATATGGTATAGTTATGTATATATATATACTATATGAAATATTGTATCATTATATTATTATATAGGTAATATATTAATTTTATTTGGAATAAATTACAATGGTTTCATTAGTAAAATTGCAAAATAGCMTATATAAGTTACTATACCAAATGGAAAACTAATTATGAATGAATAATTTGAATTAATTTAAATATATCCTTTAAGAGTTTAACCCCATACAAGCGGCTTACACGCAAACATTTTCTGTATTAACTATTTTGAAGAAAAATTGGACTGACGAAAAATAAATTTGGTCTACTTTAATTTTGTCACCACTATTAAAAAACTGAAATGGCACCACAGGCACACCTACCATCCACGGCCACCGTAATCAAAAAGTCAATCAGACATCGATGTTCATCAACTGTTTCAATCCGGAACCATCCATAAGGGGTGTTCTTTGAGGATGGCTTTAAGTAGAAAAATTATACCCGCAAGCAATACGGTGGCTATACTTTAGTAGTCTTCTGCAGATTAACGTGAAATAACGCTTTTGTTGTACTATAATTTTAGAAGTTTTGTTTTTAAGTATATAATAATATATTATTAATTATTRTTATCAAACGCATCAACGCGCTGAAGTAAAATTAATTTATGCGAYTTGTGGAAATTGTGTCTATATATTTTACAAGTATACTTTCGTTTTATTTATGTAACTGGTGTACAATTTTTAAGCTTTCATCAAAGAAGAAAAAAATATTATCAGAGTATTAAAGTAAGTACGTTGGAAAAAATAAAAATAATGCAATATATGACGAAATGAACAATAATTTATGCCACATGGAATAAAAGTCTAGGCTTGCCATTCGTCGGAAACCACCCCCAAAGTTTGAAATCGAAGCATTATTTCGACTAGTTATGCTGTTACACAGACACAAAAGAACTGTAAATGCTTATAGAAAAAATTTGTGACTATATATTTATTTTATTTTTCAAATGCTATTGTAAAAATATTTTAGGAGCCTTRTATTAAATATTCAAATCTTAGGTGTAAAAGGAAAGTTTTTTATGAATTTTTAGGATAAAATAATTTACGAATTTTTGTGATTTTTA